GAAAAAATGAATGAATCAACAAATGCCTGTCTTACTATAGGTAAATTAGATATAAGCATACTAAATGTATATATAATCTTTTTTTTGTTTGTTTAAATGTGATTTAATGGGTTACAAACAAGTTGCATTCTAGATAGTCTATTGTCATTTCAGTTGATATATAGATTTTAAACTTTTGTATGTGAGCGGCTTTAGAATTCTCTAAGTGCTGGGTTTCTATGTTGCTTCTTAATAGCTTTGCAATACTTTCTTCAGTTCAACTTATAATATGTATTCAAAAAATACTTGATGAATGAATCATTGAAACTGAATGAATGGAACATGAGGTCCCTAAGAGTATAAATGTAGAGAAAGGGAAAATTATTTCCTTTCCTCTGAGTTTTGACTGTCTGATCAATGCTTCTCTGTCTCTGGATCTGTTTTTGTTCACCAGTTTATATTGTTCATTATATTTCTGTATATGTAATCTTTATACAACGATGATGATTGACAGATACTAGAGGTAATTACTCCAGTATTTGTCAACTATCAATGTCATTATATAATTTTTAAATCTACAAAAATTTTGATCCCAATGTTTATCTCTGATCTTTCAGTAAAACAGAGAAGGGCTAAGGAATATACTGTGTAGCATTTAGGCATTTCAAGTCAGTTTTTGTTCCTTGGTCTGCTCGACTATAGGCAAAATAGTTTTTACAAAGGTGTTTTTGTTTGTTTTTAATAGATATTTAATCATCCTAGATTTTTTTAAAAAAATTTGAATCCATCTTTATGTTCCAGTGAAGTTAAAAAACCTAAAATCAAATCCAGTAATTTGATCCAATGATGAGTTTTGCTAGGGCTAATGAAAAGGTAACAGTTGATTAGATCAAGTATTTAGGTTCTGTTCCAATATGTATGACTTGACTTCATTTTTTTTTTCTTTCTGAAATAAAGATTGGTTTTTCTCTTCCCTTAAGAATCATGACTTCCAAAAAGGACCATCTGAAAACTGAAAGGAAACCAACAAAACACTTGAAGCAGACTCAGAGATCTTGTCTACTTGTTAACATGTACTTACGGTCTGGATCAGACGTGGACAAACTATAATCACTTGGTCAAATTCAGCCCGCTACCTGTTTTTGTCTGGCCCTAGGGCAAAGGATACTTTTTACATTTTTATTTTATTTTATTTTTTTATATTTTTATTGATTTTTTACAGAGAGGAAGAGAGAGGGATAGAGAGTTAGAGACATCGATGAGAGAGAATCATCCATCAGCTGCCTCTTGCACACCCCCTATTGGGGATGTGCCTGCAACCAAGGTACATGCCCTTGACCTGAATGGAACCTGGAACCTTTCAGTCTGCAGACTGACGCTCTATCCACTGAGCCAAACCGGTTTGGGAACTTTTTACATTTTTAAATGGTTACCTCTTAATAGTTATACAGACACCTACATGATATCCTCCATATTGACTCTTGGCCTCCAGCACCTAAAATATTTACTATCAGACCTTTCACTGTCTACCTGCCATCTAGACTATTTATTTTTTTCTTAAAAAGGGGAATTTAAAGTACTTGAGAAATGGTTACATTGGTGGGAGTGTAAGTACCGTAGATGCTGAGTTTATAATGAAGCATTTTTGGCTCTTACCCACTTAGAACTTTCTGTCTGGACTCTGTTACTTAGGATTTTATTTGCCATTAAATATTTGGCATCCTTTCTCGTGAAGAATGGATGGCCATTTCCTACTAAATCAAAAAAGTATTATGTAAATTTTAGAGACATCAATGTAGACAGTTTCTCACGGACCAAAAATTAAGATAGAGGAGTTTGGTACTTAATAAGACAAAACAATATGTTTTCATATTCTCAGTTTTTCATAAGAAGTTGAAACTGAAAGTATCTTGTACCACTGACTACAGTGATCCTCCTTAGAGCTGAGGGTGAGGTCTGGAAAAGGGAATCAGAATCTCTCCAAGGAGCATTTTAAAATTAAATTCCTCCAACTATTCACCTGCCCCTAGGTGGTGGGAATCTGTTTGGATGGGCCAATGTTCTTCTGGGGAGCTCTGAGTAATAATCCCTCAGTGGTACTAACTGGAAACCAATGACCTGCTTCCCTGAACTATGTGCTCTGGTCCAGATTAAACTGTGCCCAAGACAAATGGGCTCCATCAAAAAGTACGTTTGGGGAAAAAATAATCAAAATGAACACCTGGATTGCAAAGGCGAGTTTAACTAATAGTATTTCCCTTTTAAGGGCACATAATCCTTCAGATAATTTTATTTAAAAAAAGAAACAGCTGGGTATGGCTTAGTGGTTGAACATCAATTTATGAGTCAGTAGGTCATGGTTAGATTCCCCATCAGGGCACCTGACCCAGTGATTTCCATCCTGTGCGCAGGATGCAGCGGATGATTCTCATCATTGATGTTTCTATCTCCCTCTCCCTTCCTTGAAGAAACTGATAAAAGTATATATATATTTTAAAAAACACCCATTTTAACATAAAAAGGTATTGGAATAATTTAAATTGTCAACATTTGAATAGATTAAGAACACTGTTTAAAGCTATTTAGATACATTAGGGCATTAAAAGGATGTTTAATTTGCCGGGACTGGTTTGGCTCAATGGATAGAGCGTCGGCTTGGGGACTGAAGGGTCCTGGGTTTGAATCCGGTCAAGGGCATGTACCTTGGTTGCGGGCATATCCCCAGTAGGGGGTGTGCAAGAGGCAGCTGATCGATGACTCTCTCTCATTGATGTTTCTAACTCTCTATCTCTCTCCCTTCCTCTCTGTACAAAATCAATAAAATATATTTAAAAAATAAAAAAATAAAAATAAATAAATAAAAAAGGATGTTTAATTTAAAATTATAGTTTTTCAAAGTAGAATGTACCAATATTCTTAGTGATTTGGCAGAATTAAGTTTTCACATTAGTGTACGTACTTGTATATATTTAGATATTTTGATCTTCTCTGGGAAAACATAGCCAATACAAGCAAATAACTTGATTATTTAATTTTTAAAAAATTTGATACATTTCTCTATGATGTATAATTTTCCATCTCTGTATTTAACAGTAATCTAAATTGATAATGGGTAGGATACATTCTAAATTTGGTTAAAATGCATAACTACTGTTTAACCATATAACCATATTTTATTGTGCTCTCAAAATTCTCATAGCATATCCACCAGAAAAATTGGGAATTTGTAACTTACACATGAGAAAACAACATGTTTTCATAAATTTACAAAGAAAGCAGCTTAAGAATACTCCTAAACTTGTTACATTGCTTAAAATCTTGCTCTAGATATCTCCCATATACATGTCCACTAAGTAAAATAAGAATTCTGAAGTCATTAATAAGATTCACAGAAAATTCAAATCTCAAAGTTTAGTATCAAGATTCTTATTTGATTTTACTGCATAATTGCCAAACCTCCACTTCTGTTTTTAATATGTAGGTGTGCTCTCTGGGTAACATAAACATGGCTTATGGATGGTGAAACGATGCTCATTGATACAGACCCAAGGGAAGGAAAAGTTGCATTTTGGTATTTCATATTTCACCCTGGTCATTTCCATGGAAACATATTTATAAAAAATCCCTATCGTGTAACTGTATAATAAGCCCAATTCCTAATAAGTATAATGTATTGGTGTGTGAGGGGGTAGAGAAACAGCATGAAAGCATCACCTACTTGATACACTAAAATCAGGAAGAAGTATCTAATACCTTGTTTCCCTGAAAATAAGACAGTATCTTCTAGTAATTTTTTCTCCCAAAGTTGCCTAGGTCTTATTTTCGGAGGATGTCTTATTTTTGGGAAAACACGGGTAGCAATGTGTTCTCCTTTGCCCACCCACCCAGGTAACCACGCCCTCCGCCTCGTTTAACGTGACAGATTAGATGGCTGTTCCACTATGAAAATCCACAAATAACGGTTTTGCTATAGCTAGTTGGTTTTGGTCATCCATGCGATAGGTTAAATGCATATTCCACTAGGACAAAGGGAAAGGCCCCTGTTAAAAGGAAATGCTCAGTACGGCCACAGAGACACCCATCCCATCCTTTCAACAGATTTAAACTCACAGGTGTCTGGTATTTCCGTCACATCAGGAGTCCTGGGCTCACAGTGCTAGCCTGAAACCAGGGTGCCCTCCTGCAACTGACAGCCTCCACCAGAGTGGAAGCAGAAAGGGTGTGTGTGGTGATGGGGGAGAGGGGTAGTTTGGGGAAAATGAAAGGGCAAACATTCCAATTCCACTTTACCGGTTTTGCTCAGTGGATAGAACATCAAGGGTCCCGGGTTCGATTCCAGTCAGGGGCATGTACCCTGGTTGCGGGCACATCCCCAATAGGGGGTGTGCAGGAGGCAGCTGATTGCTGTTTCTCTCTCATTGATGTTTCTAGCTCTCTATTCCTCTCCTTTCCTCTCTGTAAAAAAAATCAATAAGATATATTAAAAAAAACCACTAATAAATGCACGTGAGAGTCACTGTGGCTCACGAGCTAGCCTCCAGTTTTAGCATGGTGAAACTCACTCTGTTTATGTCTGCGAGGTGTGGGGACACGTTCAAGGAGCGGGATCTCCCCTTGGTTTCTCTGGGAACTGGAACGCGGCGGCGGCCCCCGTGGTCCCCGGGGCCCTTCCCCGCGCGGGAGCCGCAGGCCCCGCGGAGCCTGGGAGCGCCCGGCGCGGGCAGCCGTTCCCACGCCCGGGCGGGCCCGGAGGCCGCGCTGACCCGGAGGCTCCTTCCCCACGTTCCCGGCTCTGGCCCTCCCCGCCCTCCCCGTTCTCCCACCTCCCCGCCCTCCCCCTCCTCCCCCGGGGTCCGGCCGGGGCGTGGGAGCGCAGCTGCGGCGGGAGCGGCGGGCGGAGGCAGCGCTGCGCTGCGCGTCCGCGACCGGAGCGGAGCAGGGAGCGGAGGATGAATCCAGGAGCGGGGGCAGCTCCGGGGTGGGGATGGGGGCCCTGAGGACCCTCCGGACCCTCCACTTACTTGATGTCCTCCCACACCTCGGGGCCGTAGTTGCGGATCACCAGCAGCTCCAGCGCGTGGTTCACAAAGCCGTACTGCGGGGAGAGGGAGCCTGGGCGTCAGAAGGCTGGACAGGGGGCGAGGCTGCAGGACCGCCCTGGGCTGCTCTAACTTTGGGTCCAACCTAGGCGGGGTACTCTCCTTTTAAAAACGGGGGGATCTCTGGGTCGCCCCCCACGCCACCAATAGAGGGCAGATCCTCCCCATCACCGCCCTCCCCACCCCCGTGCCACCTTCCTCCCCCCCGCTCACCTGTCACGGCCAGGAGGCGGGCTGGGCAGCGGGGGAGCCCGGCAGAAGGGGCGAACCCGCACCTCCCGCACCGCGGCTCCCGGCCTCCCGCACCCGCAGGGCCCGCCGGAGCCGGGAGAGCCCCGCATCTCGGTGGCACGTCCATCCCGTTCCCGAGCTCGGTGCGGTGCGGCACCGGGGACCCCATGCCCCCCGCCGCGCCCCCTCCCTTCCGGCGTCCCCATCCCCTCCGCTCCGGACGCGGGCACACGGCGGGGGTGCTCCGGTGCGCTCCCGGGGCCCAGCGCCAAGCTCCGGTGGCGCGGGCGGGTTCGCTGGGGCTCCCGGGCCCGGTCCGGCTGAGGTTTGCGGGTTCGGCCTGACCCCCGGCTGGGGGGACTCACCATGGTGCCTGCGCCCGGGGTGCGGGAGGAGGCCCCCGCGGAGAGGCGCGGCCGGTGGGACCCGGGCTACGGAGGCGACGGCGCAACAGGACCCCGGCGGCAGCGCAGAACTGGAAGGAGCGCAGTGGTCTCGGTCCGCCTTGATTGGCACCCCTTCCCAGCCAATGGCGAGTCGAGCCGCAGGAGGCCGGCCGCGGCTTCCTCGTTTCCAACCAATCGCCGGCAGAGGAGGGAATTCAGATGCTGTCACTACTGCTGTGCTCAGGGTCCTTCCCGCCCCCGCCCTAGTGACTAGGCTTTCATTCGAGTCCATAACGATGACGTTGGAGAAGCTCCAGTTTTGTGCCTTGCAAGAATTTTTGGGGACAGGAAGAATGCAAGGATTGTAGTCCCCCCAAATATATTCATATCCAAACATCTACCCTCAGAAGTAGCAAAAACTGAGTAGAGGTGTATGTGAGGTGTGTGTGTATGTGTGTGTGTGTGTGTTTATCTTGCAAAGCACAAGCCTTAAAAGGAATAAGCCCTCGTGGTCAGCATCCTTCTTATTTAATGTTATCTTGCAGATAAATATTTCCTTTGTGGTTTGGTCCTGCAACAGTTTATAGTAAGCTAATAATACTGAGCTTCACACATTTTGCTTTCAGTCAATGAGATTAGTTGAGTGGGTCAGCTAAAACTTTCAGCAATGTAGTTTGGTGAGTGTGGTGTCAAAACAAGCTTTGCCCATTACTAAACTTCCCTACAGATCTAGTCATGCTCTGTTCCTGCTCCTGGAGGGATGCCTGATCCCATATCATAGCCAAAAACCATGAATCTGAAGTTTTTGACTGTCCAGAATTTGGTCCCTGTTGGTGTTTCTCGAAGCTAACTGATGAACTGTAAAAGGCCCAGTACAAAATGAGTAGACTTAATTCATCTAACCCCAGTCTATAATCTACGAGGCATTTGGGTTAGTTAATGCTCTGAGCCCCACCACAGGGATAGGAAGGAACTGTCTACGATTAAAGCTCTGTGCTTGGGGTGCATGGACACAATTGATAGGGTTAGGTGAAAAGTGAGGAAGGGAAGGTAAGCATTGCTTCCAATCACAATGGTCAAGTGGCCCTGAGAAGCCAAGATGATATTTGGTGATATGGATAGTTTGCTGTGAGAACAATTTCAACATGGTGAGAGGAAATATCAAAACTGTAAAACTACTAGCATCCATACCTACGAACCTATCTTGAGGCATAATTGGTACAGAAGTAATTACATAGGAAACAAATAAAACAATGACAAATAATAAAAGTACTAATGTCTATCAATGGTGAAATTACAAAATAAATTAGAATTTTTCATACCATGGAAGACTTTACATTGTACAAATATTAAAATATTAAACTATTATGAATGTTATCTGTTAATTTTAATGATTAAAATAGTCCATTGCTCTATGCAGCCATGAAAAAACTAGATACAAAATGATACAGATAGTTAAATAAATGAATGGCATCTGTATGTAATCACCTTCAATATTTTTTGTTTATTGATTTAAGAAAGAGAGAGAGAGAGAGAGAGAGAGAGAGAGAGAGAGAGAGAGAGAGAGAGAAACATTGACATGAGAAACATCAATTGGTTGCCTCTCATATCTACAACCTGGGTATATGTCCTGTCAATGAATTAAGCCCCTTACTTTTTGGTGTATGAGAGACACTTCACCCCACTGAGTCACACCAGCCAGGGCAACCCTCAGTTTTTTAATGGTTGTACAGAATAAGGTGTCATTTGGATAACAAGAACACATATACATACACATTGCCATAAAGATGAATAAGAAAATTTTTATCTCTATTGTCTGTAATTAAAACCATTGGCTGATCTAGATGGTTTGACTCAGTGGATAGTCCATCAGCCTGTCGACTGAAGGGTCCCGGGTTTGATTCTGGTCAAGGATGCATGTCCTGGTTGTAGACTCGATCCCCAGTAGGGGTGTGCAGGAGGCAGCTGATCAATGAATCTCTCACTTTACTGATGTTTCTATCTCTCTTTTTCTCTCCATTCTTCTATCTGAATTCAATAAAAATATTTTAAAAAAAAAAAAAACAGTGGCTGAAGAGACCAAGGTTTTTACTTTTTGTATTATGACCTTCTGTATCTTTTGATTGCTTTCTATTCACATGCAATACTTTTTTAACTTGTTAAAAAGACCTTTTCTCATTTCTTGACCTGTCTTCCTTTGACCAGCAGCACAGTGAGCTGTGGTGTCCCGGACTTTAGACTCTTGATAGGTGAAAACAGGGAAGAAAATTGCTCTCTAGTGATGAAAATGAAGAAAGTTCATCTTGAGAAAGATGAGAGCAAAAATGAAGAATGAGCACCCTGCCGACTTTGTTTCTATTTCTGAGGTTCTAACTTCCACCGTCACTGTTCTTTTTGACCAGTAACTCTTTGAGCGTATTGCCCTTTGTCCAACACCTATTTGCATTTGTAAAAATGGTATACTGTGTGTGTGTTTTCTCACTGTCCTACATTCACTCAGAATCTCAAGGAAGGTCTGTTCACTAAAACTTTGCCAATTTTTGTTTGGCCCACAAGATACTACAAAGGATTTGCCAATCAGGGAGAGAGGGAGGCCACCAGCCATGAAAGAGCCCAAAACAGGTCACTGTGCTTCTGTAAGTGCCCTATCCATGGTCCTTACTGCTGGCAATGGAGCATAGAAATCAGGTCATAAGTAGGTTATGCTGTATTCTCAGAAACAATAAATTGCCCTTTTTCTCTCTATGGCCCAAGCTGAAGAGATTCAGAGAGGAAAAGGAGAAGCTTGGGGAATGGCTTAGCCAGCCATAGTGTCAACCCTAATTATTTGAAAATCAGTCCAATGCATAAAAATTAAATAAATCAAAAGGCATATATGGCTTTGAGAAATGTTCGCTGAAATGACTCACATTTTCAACTAATAAAGATAAATTAGTAGCTGGCCAGTGTAGTTCAGGGGTTGAGCATTGACCCACGAACTAGGAGGTCATGGTTCTTTCTGGTCAGGTACATGCCCTGGTTGCAGGCTCAATCCCCAGGAGGGGGGGGGGGGGCATGCAGGATGCAGGTCATCAATAATTCTCTCTTATCATTGATGTTTCTATTCCTCTCTCCCTCAACTTTCTTCTCTCTGAAATCAATAAAAAACATTAAAGTAAATTAGTTGGGCAGTTTAAGAATTAAATACATATTTAATAAGATCTAATTTAGAATGCATTTTGATGGACCTTTAACTATGATTTCCAGTGTTTCCATGTGATACTTCTCCCACATGACAAAGAACATCAAACTGAAATACAGAAACAAAAAGACCTAAACTGGTTTAACCAGATTCAATGAGCCTTTAATGATGCTTCACTTGAGAATCAATACCCTATTGAAAAGATTAGAGGGTAAAACAACATTTACTCCATTGGAATAATTCTAATGCTATTTAGTGTGTTTTTTTAATGACTTACTTCTAAATAACATTTGTAATTTACCAAGTACTTCCACACACTTTGTCCCCTTTTCATTGTCTCATTGGTTATGACGGAGATAGTGTTTTGCTCATCTTGGATGTGAGGACTGAGCTTCAGAGGAGTGAGGGATTCCTCATACATTACTAAGGGCCATCCTTTGACTTATTGACCCTATTGCAGATCTTTGACCCCAAACCCATAACTCCTTCCTTAAATATAATTATTTCTCTTTATGTGTCTGACAGTTGGTGTTTAATGCCAAATAGATTAGACAGAAATCAAAAGAATAGTCATATACAACTTGATAACTATGTAAATTGGGGGTAATGGGACACATGATTTCCCAAAATTCCAATTTTCTTGTTTGTAAAACAAAGACATTATAAATTCATAGTAATTTTTATACCTCCTGTAAAATGAGGACATTACAAATAGTAACTTTTATAGCTTCTGTAGGATTTGGTAAGAATTAAATGAGTTAACATATATGTAGGTATTTTATATAGAGTACAATTTATTGCACATTGGTTTTACTACATTTATTATATGATTCTTTGTCTGAATTATGTAAATTTGTAATATTCTTCATATGAGAAAATAGCGTGAGGGAGATAAGACAATGCGTTTCATAAGACATATGGTCTTTGGTCCAACAGTGGACAAGTTACTAAGCCTATCTAAACCTCTGAAAATGAGGCAATCATGAAGATGAAATATGATGATATGTGTCAATGATGTATTACAGTGCTTGACATATAGTAAATGCTCACCAAATGTGAACTTGATAATCCATTTAAGAAATGTGTCTATCATAATGTAAACAGACCATTTCATAGGTGCTGAGTTTGGGTTAAGATAATGCTTAACTCCCATACTGGCAATGCAGAGAACATAAACTATGGTTTCCAATTCCTTCCTTTATTATCAGTCAAGACCCACAAATTGGAGCCAAAGTCAGCAGAATGAAGCATCCCTTGATCTGTTCCATTCTATTATCCTAAGTCAGTGGTAGGCAAAGCCAACAGAACCAAATATCAACAGTACAATTGAAATTTATTTTGAGAGCAAAATTTTTTAAACTTAAACTTCTTCTAACGCCATTTCTTCAAAATAGACTTGCCCAGGCCATGGTATTTTGTGGAAGAGTCATATTCAAGGGGCCAAAGAGCCGAATATGACTCCCAAGCCTCAGTTTGCCGACCACTGTCCTAAGTGAATGAACATCAAACCACCCTGGGTTGTGTATTTCTGTTCTACCTCCAAAAGTAATGCACATCCATTTGACTGAACTGCTTTTATCTTTTCTTCTTTATACTCTGTTGCTTTCATTTTCATCTCTGGCAAGAAACCAATAAGAAACACCACAAATAATTAACCATAATTCCCAAGTCTACTCAGACCTCCTTTTTAGGTTTGGTGTGGAAATTTGTGGTTTTTCTAACCAAGAGTTTTCCCACATTAAAAAATAATTTTAAAAAAAAAGCTACAATAGAGTGAATTGCATTAGGAAATCCTGAGCTGTGATGTGGATCTTCTCTAATATGTAACATTAAGTATGCTTTGGCAGATAGAATAAGTCTTCTCCCCAATCCAAGATGTCCATGTCCTATTCCCCAGAACCTGTGAATATGTTACAGTACTTGGCAAAAGGGACTTTGCACATGTGATTA